ATATATATATATATATATATATATATATATATATATATATATATATTATGCATATTCTTCTTTTTTGAATTTCAGCGCTTTCATTGTTTCTTTCCTTAATAATGTTCCCTTTTTCTTATATTCTCTCCCAAATTCTTCTCCTCCCAGATATGGGTTAATTAGTAAGACTTGTATCACAAAACCGTTATTATAATTAATTAAAATTATGTAAAAAATATTTAGATTTTGGCATTAAATAACTCATAGAGGTTCCTTTGTCTCTAAACAAAAACAAGCAACCACCACTATATTTGTTACCACTCAGTAAGCCCATGCGTCTTAGCGTCTTTGTTGCCTTGCTTAGGGTGACATGATTAAAAAAATATCTTTATCTAATGACATCGGGAAATGGCAAAACACTTTAGTGGCTTTTTTGCCACTAAGGTGTTTTGCCATTTCCGATGTCATTAGGCAGGGTTAGGGTTAATTCAAAAAAATCCGAAATGGCGGGTGGGGGGGCGGTTAAACTTGACAACAAAAGCAGCAGAGACAGCAAACTTGGCAAAAAAGGCAGAAAGAACTTTAGGTTTAAGACTCCGAGTTTCAGCACCAGGACTTTCCGCAGGATGCTAGCCTAGATAATTAAAGCATCAGTTAATGAATTTGCTGGCATACTAAGTTGTCGGTCAACTCAATAGGAACAACCTCCAGTTTTATTTTTAAAAGAATCAAATCAAATCAATAATGGAAGATTGCTGCCACATCTGGGCTGAAATAGTCCTTATCCCCCCCCTTTCCAGATTTTGACGGTGTGGGTGGGGAATTATTTTCCACTTTAAAAATCCCTTTTCCTACAGACGAGACGTTTGCTAGCCTCTCACTACTCCATTGCTGTCTAGTGTCCTTCTTAGATTTGAAACACGGGGGAAATGTGGATGATTACACTCCGTGTATGTGTGTTTCGTTCCGTGTCAAATCTGACTTCAGACCTTCAACATTACATCATAGACTGCATCAATAAAGGGCATTTTTTTCTTCTCACGCTCTATTATGCGAAGGACAACAGTGGTAGCATCATTTCTAGGCGGAGGCGATATGTAGATGATTACCGGATAGCGTGCCGACTTTTTGACTAAGCATTCCACCACAGGCTGATTAGCTCACTAAGGAATCTGGGTGCAGCGGGCGTGTTCGCTCTTCCAGATTCTTGCGCGGTTCTCCCTGTCTTCGCACCGTTTATGACTTATAAAGGGTGTTCCAATAACTTGGACCGATTTTAATGTAAATTAATTTTAAGAGTCTATTAATTTTTTTCTTTTTCTTTCAGATTTGGCGGATATGTGGACGATATTATTTTTCACACATAATTGCCATGACTTGGCAGAAAGAACTTTAGGTTTAAGCCTCCTAGTTTCAGCACCAGGACTTTCCGCAGGATGCTAGCCTAGATAATTAAAGCATCAATTAATGAATTTGATGGCATTATCCAATAGAGAAATAAATAAATTTTCACCAATAACACTGATTTCTTTACTGCTGACTTTGATCCGTCTTAATGAAACACCCTTATATATAATCCGTCTTAATGAAACACCATTTGTATAAAAAAAAAAAAAACAACGGCAATTCCTCAGTCAGAATTCCACGCCCATTGTGTCCATTAACCAGTGGTTTGGTTTTCTGGGCCAGCCTCTGCATTTTGCAACAAGATCGTAGTCCTAGTGGTTTTTGGCTGAACTGGTATTAAAGAACAAACATTCTGAATATTTTCCATGGAAATAGCGATACAGCCAGATGTTGATTTATTACTATTGAATTGAAAGAGAAAAGGAAAATCTGCTGCAGTCTAGTGTTATAATGTTTTTGTGCAGTTGTATATTCGATAACCCTAGCGGACGCTTGGTATTTTAACGGAAAGAGTGACTCTGCAACCCGATGATTAAAAAGAACGAAAGATGAAAGTTCTGGTATCTATGCTATTTCTGGACTCAAATATGACAGTAAAAGCTGGACAATTACACCACAATTTTTTTAAAATAAGTGACAGACGTCTTTATAAATAATAACCCATCGATTATGCGATTACGTCAAATATTTTGATAGTTTTATTTTCATTGAAAATGTTGAAGCGAATGATTGGTTTTAAATTTCAATCGCGGGAAAAGGTATAAGAAATAAAGAAAAATGTTGTTGGACTGAAATGTTACATTTAATCACATGTATAGCGGTGAATTCTGCACAATTTCGTCAAAAATTTAAAAAAAAATCTTCACCGATGACAATTCTAGCACAGATAAAAAAAAAAAAGAAGCTATCTGAATATTAATGTAACAGAAGATTTTAAAATATGACAAAGAAATCCGAAGTCTTTTAGAAATAGAACAAAATATATTTTTACAAAAATAAGTCGTTAAATCAGGGGTTCCCAACTTTTTGGGTACTATCGCCCGCTATCAAATGGAACAGTTTTTTATCGCCTACCTTTATAGTAAATATTCAAACACATACCAAAATTGTTTGGTAAATGTTTGTTACTGGTTCATAAACTGACTTTATGATGTAGTAAAAAATACCAAAGGGAGGTAACAAATAACGCTGACTTATGAGCCAGCTGCTGTAGCTACTACCGTATTAAAGATCACACGAAAGCAAACATGACCTTTGAAAACTATATAAAGAATTTAGTTTTATTGTTCGGGTTAGCGTTGCAAGTGTGTATATAAAATTGAAGAATTTTTGTACATAATAATAAAATGAAAAAGAATATACACTCCTAGCAAAAAATAAAATTAATCAAATATCTTTTGTTATGTCGAATATTGAAGAACTATTTGAATGTTAGTGACTCTTCTGAAAACTAGCAAAAATACCAAAATAATCCTTGTCTGCTAGAATATTTATATCTTATATGGAAATGTGACAGTTATTCTCATTTAACATCCTGTTTTTTTATATAAATGTTGAAACTTGACTAATGCATAGAATAATAATACAACACAAAATGTACTTAGAACAAAATGTATTGAAACAAGAAAGTGTACACATTATTTACATATAGTCTTTTGTATATTCTTGGGAAGACCGTTCCTGGAGAATGGGTTGACTTAGTCGCAGTCGGGCAGAGTCTCTGGATTGAATCCCTTGATTCCTACCATCGTCTTCCCGGTACCAACCATATTTATATGGTCGGTACTCCACTATGCAAATTAGGTGGATCCTACCACAACAATAAACTACCAGTCAAAAGTATTTGGCCACCCTCAAAAATTTTTATTTCTCATCCTAACAGTGTTATTTTTAATGAAGCAAGTTAAGCACCAAAATGGTTTTATTTATTATACTAAATACAAGTCTTTCTTAGTAACTTTGACTTTAGTATAACCAGACATCTTTTGAATAAATTGATTTGAAGGCATTTTTTTTCTTTAGTACTGAGCATGAATAAAACGTTTTCCAAAAGTTACATTATACCACCACTTGAACTCATATTAGACTATATTGTGCTGAATAACTGCTTGCTAGATACGACCTGCTAATGTACCGGGCTCGGGGGTGAAATATGTTATTCTTATTTTGTTTAAATTAAAATTTAAATTTTGCAACTTTCTCCCGGATCAAAACTTTTTCTCAACAAAATGCCCAAAACACGTGAATTTACACTTGAACAAAAACAAGAGATCATTTCTTTACAAAAAGAAAGATATTCAAGCAGAGAAATGAAAAAAGAAATAAAAATTCCTAGAACTGCAATGGATTATATTATGTTAAGAGACATCAGGAAACGAGACAAAACAAGATCCAAAAGTAAGGGTGGTAGACCAAAAACAACAAGAAGAGCAGAGGATAATTTCATCAGAGTCACCAGTTTGGGTGACAGAAGGCTGACTGCTTCAAACATTACTGCACAACTGAACCAATGTCGTGAAAACAACGGGTCAACATCCATCACTGTGACGTGAAAACATTGTGAAGCTGGCCTATATGGCAGAATTGCTGTCAAGAAACCACTGTTGAGGAATCCAAACAAAGTCAAAAGGCGCCAGTGGGCCACGGCGCATGAAGATTGGACAATAGAGCAGTGGAATAAAGTCCTTTGGACTGACGAATCAAACTTCTTTGGGTCCAATAGGAGGGTCAATGTGCGGCGAAGAGTTGGTGAAAGAGCTGCAACCCCCTGTATCACACCAATCGGAAGGCATGGAGGAGGCTCTGTTATGGTATGAGGGAGGGGACTTTTGTCAATTGCAAAGTCGGAGATTTGCATCAGGTGAAAAGCAAATTGAATCAGACCGGCTATCACGGCATACTGCAGCATCACGCGATCCCATTTGGAACACGGCTTGTGAGTCAAGGATTTGTACTCATGCAAGATAATTACCCAAAATATACGAATAAAAACTTCGAGAGATACATTAAAAGCAAAGAACAGCACATTATTCGAATGATGTATTGGCCGGCTCAATAAGCGGACTTAAACCAGATTGATCTGGTGTAGGATGAACTTGATCGAAAAGTCAGAGCTAAACAACCCACAAGTGCGGCTCTCCTCTGGCAATACTTGCAGGAAAGCTGAGCAGAACAATCTTCAGTCTACCTCCAGTCTTTGGTAGAAAGAATGCCGAGAATCAGGGAAACAGTGATAGCGGCCAATGGGGATCATTTTGATGAATCAAAAGTTTAAGTTTTTTTTTTATGTGTTTTTTTGGTTAAATTTATATTTAATACGGCGCAGGAAGATTTGTATTTAGTATAATAAATGAAACTATTGTGTTGCTTAACTTGATTCATTGAAAATAATATTTTTAGGATGAGAAATAAAATTTTTTAAAGGTGTCCAAATATTGTTGACTGGTAGTGTATATATATACAGGGTCTTTGTGCATCTTTTCGGATAACATATGTTGAAAATACTTTTTTAACACTCAAAATCCTATATCGCCAAACAAAATTTCCAGTTGTCCACCAATTTCTGTTCAGTCGATCATCGCCCACCCAACAGTCGATCATCGCCCACTAAACAGTCGATCATCGCCCACCCAACAGTCGATCATCGCCCACTAAACAGTCGATCATCGCCCACCCAACAGTCGATCATCGCCCACTAAACAGTCGATCATCGCCCACCCAACAGTCGCCCACCCAACAGTCGATCGTCGCCCACCTATCAGTTGATCATCGCCCACCTATCAGTCGATCATCGCCCACGCAACAGTCCATCATCGCCCACCCAACAGTCAGTCGATCATCGCCCGATCGTCGCAAACAGTCGATCATCGCCCACCCAACAGTCGATCATCGCCCACCCAACAGTCGATCATCGCCCACTAAACAGTCGATCATCGCCCACCCAACAGTCGATCATCGCCCACCTATCAGTCGATCATCGCCCACCCAACAGTCGCCCACCCAACAGTCGATCGTCGCCCACCCGATCAGTTGATCATCGCCCACCTATCAGTCGATCATCGCCCACCCAACAGTCGATCATCGCCCACTAAACAGTCGATCATCGCCCACCCAACAGTCGATCATTGCCCACTAAACAGTCGATCATCGCCCACCTATCAGTCGATCATCGCCAACCTAACAGTCGATCATCGCCCACCCAATAGTCGATCATCGCCCACCAGTGGTTGATTTCGAGTGAAAGGAGAGAAAAAAAGAGTGCAGGACTCTCATGCAATGTCTAATCACCTCTACGGCAGTGAAGACTGCATAATGCAAAATAAGTTATTTGAAGCAACATAAAATGTTGAGAATATCATGGACACGGCATTTGATTAGTGAGGAAGTTTTAAGATTTAGAACTACAAATAAACTAGAAAAAGCCGAGGAAAAAAGAAAAACGAATATCGAAAAGAAGCCGTCTTCCGGTAATACTGTCTATGAAGTTGGGGTCTGAAAAGCAGAAACCAATGGCGATACGGAACACAACATCTGTAAAATGATAACTCAACAACTTAAAAAGGTTCCCGTCAATGGACGGCAGCTGACTCGGCATCTTGTTGAAACTGGAATTATAAAGCAATCACCCTTGCCGAATTAAACCGCAGAAAAAAACAGAAATCTAAAGAAATATTTGTAAACCTGGAATATACGCTGGGCGCCAAGCCCTCATCTGCAGTCGATTGTGAAAAAGGATGCCTCTCCCAAATTCGAGCCACTTGAAAGACCGCAACAGTCATGAAATTTTTTTTTTAAATTGCCCTTCTTAAAGTCACTCCATGACGAAGTACCACATCTCTTAGTTGTGGCGTAAGGGTTATCAACACAGAAATTGGAATCTTCTGTTCACAAACTTCAAGAGAGGTCGAGAAAAGCATGAAACCCCATCTCCCTGTAATCTGCGCTATCGTTATATGTCTTGAAAAAATATCTTACATAATATATGATGATCGACGGAAAGGCTGCAATTTTTTTTATAACTTCGTCCCAAACAAGGCAATAAAGCCACTAAGACGCAGGGGGTTCCTGAGAGTTAAAGAATATGAGAAAAAACTAATATTAAGAAGAGAGGACAATAAAAGAAGAATTAAAAAAACAGAAGATAATGATTGATATTGCATTTCAATTTTTGAAGATCAAAGGCAATAAAGTCACTAGGACGCAAGGGTTACTAAGTGTTAGAGAATATGAGAAAAACTACTATTAAGGAGAGATGACAATAAAAGAAGAATTAAGAAGACAGAAGATAACTATTGACATTGCATATAAATATTTGTATATCAAAGGTAATAAAGCCACTAAGACACAAAGGTTACTGAGTGTTAGAGAATACGAGAAAATTGCTATTAAGGAGAGAGGACAATAAAAGAACAAGAATTAAGAAGATAGAAGATAACGATTGACATTGCATTTATATTATTGTTGATCAAACTTGACTTGGATGCAAGAAGCTGAAAGAGATTTCCACCAGCGAGGTGTGATAAAGGAACCTTTTAATTCAACTGTAAATTGATGAGATCTCGCCATCCATCTTCATAAAGTCTAGATAACATAGAGGAAATTTTCTCAGAAATGAAAGTATTTACAGAAAAGGAGCATGGAAGCTACGTTACGGGGTGAGAAACTGACTGAAGCCGAGATGCCATGTCAAGACCAATAATGTTGCTGATTCTTCTTTTAGATTTTCTCAAAAATCTCTAAACATATAGCAGGAGCACCAGACCAGATGCGGCAGGAATATTCAAAGCAAAGTAATTTGTGAAGCCAATTTGTTTCTACGGCAGTAGCATCTAAAAGCTGTTAAACAGATATCTTTAATATAAATGTCAATTATCTACATGTCCAGGATTTTCTAGGAAACTATAAGAAAAAGAACCGTGAACGCAAACTCTAATATCGGTTTTAGGCACAGCGTTCAAATCGTTTGGAAATGTCTAAACCAGTGGTTCTTAAATGATTTTGGTCCAGACCCCACTTTGGTATTTCTAAACTTTCCCCTCTGTAATATTTAATTCTTACATATTCAAAATTTTACTGTAATTCATGTAAAGGGAGCTGAAAAGGCCATTAACTTGGTCTCTAAACAAACCTCCAAAGACCATGGCGTCCATGAAAGAGAAAAATTAAAAACAACAAAAAGAAAGCTTATTCTGTAATATACTTTGATTATTTGAATCATGAAATAATAATGCAAAATTAAATTTGAGCTCACTAGAAAATTTGAGTATGAATTTCTGGGATAAGGAGTTATCATTATTTACACTATTTATATTCAGACTATTGTCCTCATCTTTGTTGTTGTTATCACATCGTTTCGGCCGTTATGTCCTCCGGCCTTCATCAGGTGTATATTCACCTAGGTAACCTACATGGAATGAATTTCTAGGATAAGAAGTTATCATTATTTACACTACTTATATTCGGACTATTGTCCTCATCTTTGTTGTTATCACAACGTTTCGACCGTTATGTTCTCCGGCCTTCATCAGGTGTATATTGACCTGGGTAACCTACACGGAATGAATTTCTGGGATAAAGAGTTATTTTCCTATTGTCTTTTACCTTTATCCAGTTAAATATATATAGTTTCAAAACATATAATAGAGAACTGAAAATATTTGAATGAAATCTTATTCTCTAATATACTTTGATCATTTTAATCATGAAATAATAATGCAAAATGAAATTTGAGCTCACTAGAAAACAATTCACTGTTAATAACTCATTCTCGAATTGCCCCATTATTCTGTTAGTATAGTAAGCCGAAGGGTGCACATTCTACGCATGCGCTACCAAAATATTACCATCCACCCCTGGTGGAAATTATTGGTCTAAACTGTCATCATTATACAACCATTTTTTCAGGTCAATGATTAAAAATGACTACAAGTGAATGCATCTTTCAGGTCCTAAAGAAAACAGGACTTCTTTAGAAACTATAATTCAGCGTTTCTCAACCGCTGTGTGCAGGGAAACCCTTTAGTTTTCCACAAGATGTCGCTAGGGGTTCCTCGAGAAATATTGATAAATAGACCAATGCAGTTTTGAAAAATTTTTGTTTCATTTTATATTCCTAATTTTGTTATAAACTTACGACGTATTGTTGGAAAATTCTTCGTTATTATTATAATGACTTCAACTTCTTACATTATTTTAAATTACAGAACGCGATGGCTAAATTGCTGTCATCTAAATGACACAAAAATGAAAATAACACTGACATCTCATTTTAACAGATACATTTACCAAAATTACGCAAAAATATCTTGAAATACTAAAGAGTAAATATATTCAATAAAATCACCATTAGATTCAACCGCGGCCTCCTTTGGAATCTCCTGCTTCTCTTCTGGACGGTCTCTTTGTTTAAATTGGTGAATGATGCCATAATCCTTGTTCATCTTTGGTATTACAAGGATTTTTGATGGTCTCTCGCTAAATTGCGCCCCACACATAATAATGAAGGGGGTTGCTCTCTGGGGAGTCAGATGACCAGGTGTAAAATGTGATGTGGTTGTATAAATTCTCTGACAGCCATGACTGGGTTCTCCTATATGTGTTGCATGGTGCAGAATCCTAGGGTCTTCCAGCAGCCACACTCAGCACTACCTACTCTAGGCACTTAATGTAGATTTCCGTGTTGAGTTGAATGTCCTCATCCCCAAATTCGAAAGTTCTTTTTCTTATCAGAACGATCAGAGTGAAATTTCCTAGATACTGTACCTTCGTAATCACCATTAGACTCATCCAACTCTTTCCTCAGATTGGCACCCAAATACTCTGAAATGTTCGTATTGAAGCTTCCGACGCGAATGCCAAGCAGTACAGCATGGTGTTTCCAAACTTCTGGTGGAGTGAATTGCATCATGGTGTTCTTTTTCTCATAGACGGTGCCCAACTGACCCGACGATAATGTGCAGTCGACAAAATCTAAAACAAACAACACACATGCACGAAATGAAAAATATAAAATGGCAACAATTTGCCCATCGCACTCTGTATAATATTAAGAGGCAATGTCTTTAGTGATGTCAATATGGCGGCAATGTAAAACCGCCTTCATTCCGTTCATAGTCCATTTACATATTTTAGATTGTAAGAACATTTTTTGAGAATAACAATGATTTTTCTGTATACAAGTTTTACTATTTAATCCATAACTGAGGGAAAGAAATGGGTTCATACCTTTCCTGAGTGCATGACAACCGTACGATCACCGAAGTTAAGCAACGTCGAACATGGTTGTTAACCTGATGGGTGACTGCTTGGGAATAACAGGTGCTATATGCTTGGATGAACGTGTGGTATAAAGGGCTTACGGTTATATCAAACCGATTCCTGTACGATCACCGAAGTTAAGCAACGTCAAGCCTTGTCAGATGGGTGACCGCTTGGGAATACCAGGTACTATATGCTTCGATGTGTAGGTGGTATGAAGGGATTGTGGTCATATCACGTTGAAAACACAGGTTCCAATCGAAGTTAAGCAATGTCAAGCCTGGTCTGTAACTAGATGGGTGACCGCTTATATATATAGAGATCCGTTTCCATGAAAAAGCCCATTATATAAGAGCACAATATCAAAATACATTTTTACCGTGTTTCATCACCTGGATATAATATTAATGGCAAGGCGTAACGGTTGTGCCAACTAACTAAAGAATTAACTAAGGAAGTGAGGGGCGGCTTTTTATTTGAATTTTCTGATGAATCTTAATTCTTAAGTTAACGATTAAACTCATGGCGAGTTCTACGACAATAAAATATCCATAGATATTCCCATTTCGCATCGTTAAATATTTGAGCTTAACAACTTTGACAACGTATCACCCCTAATACAGATTTTGGTTTTCTATGCAATCAAAACGGAATAGTCCATTATTTATGAGGTATTGTCAGGAGAGGTTAAACACTTCTTTCTTTCTTTCTTTGTTTATTCTCACTGAAACCAAGTAGCGTCTCTGATATGTCATGTCCGTTTTTTCACGTGGTAAA